CAACCACTTTTGAGTAGTGATAATCATCTCCTTATTATTTTTAGCTAATAAAATATCGTCAACATACAAAAATAGAATCAAAAAGCTATCTTTAAAATGTTTAACGTACACACAACGGTCTTCATTGATCATCATAAACTCATTAGAAGTGATAGCTTAATGAAACCTGAGATACCACTGTTTGGATGATTGCTTCAGGCCATAAATAAATCGTTGAAGTTTACACACTTTGTTCTCCTGACCCACCACCACGAAGCTCTCAAGTTGATCCATGTAGATCTCCTCATCCAGTTCTCGATTAAGAAATACAGTTTTAACATCCATTTGATATAGTTCTAAATCCATATATGCAACAATAGCTAGAATCATGCGAATCGAGACAAATCTTATAACTGGAGAAAAAGTTTCCTCATAGTTCACACCCTTTCTCTGGGTGTAACCTTTTGCCACTAGATGAGCCTTATATCTTTCTATGGATCTATCCACCTTGCGTTTAATTTTGAGAACTCATTTGTTCTTAATGGCCTTGCGCCCAGGCGGAAGGTCAACCAAGTCCCAAACTTGATTAGCCTTCATTGACTCCATCTGGTCATTCATTGTAGCTATCCACTCATTACTAGCAGGTGATAATAGAGCCTCTTTAATATTTTTAGGTTCAACATCATCATGTCGTGCAGCCATGAAAGCTTCCCCTTCAATCTCAAAATGACGTTGAGGGATGGTTCCCCGTTTGCTTCTACGTAACTCTGTGTCGTATGGACTTACATCCATTAGAATTGATCCACCACTGAGTATGTCGCTCCCACTATTCCTAAAAAGTGATGAAACTATTTTCTCGATTTCTACTTGGTTAATGGGTATATCTCTTTAAGGATCATCTAACTCAAAAATTTCTATTTCTTTAGACACATCTTCTATGCTAGGGAAATCATCTTCAAGAAAAATTGCATCCGGTGACTCAATTTTAGTTACCCTTTCATCAAGTTGTTCACCTATAAACACATAGCCCTTAGAGTACTCAGAATAGCAGATGAAGATACACTTTTTTCCTGTAGGACCTAACTTCTCATATTTATGAGAAGTATTATGTACATAAGCCGTTGAACCCCATGACCGTAAATTATTTAAGTCAGGTTTTGTGTCTATCCATAACTCATATGGGCTAGAAGGAATTGATTTAGAAGGCACTCGATTAAGGATATAAGCAATAGTCAACAAAACATCTCCCCAATATGAAATTGGAAGATGAGCCCGTGCCATTATGGACCTAACCATATCAAGTAAGGTGCAATTTCTTCTCTCCGCTACACTGTTTTGTTGTGGAGTGCTAGGTATTGTCAATTGCATGATTATTACTTTTTCTTCACAAAACTCTTTAAACTATTCAAATAGATACTCGCAACCTTGATTAGTTCTAAGAACCTTAAATTTATTGTCTCATTGATTCTCAACCTCTTTAATGTAATGTTTGAAGCAATCCAATTCTTCAGACTTGTGAAAAATCAAATAGATATGACCGAAGTGCATAACGTCATCCATAAAAGTGATGAAATAGGATGCATCATATCTTGCATTCACATTCATTGGGCTACATAAATCTGAGTGTATTGATTGTAATGGAATAGATGCTCTTTTAGTCTTATCAAATGGTTTTTTAGTTGCCTTACCTGCGAGACAATTTTCACATGTGGGCAAGTTGATTTTAGCAAGTAGGCCCAAAAATCTTTCTCTAGCTAATCCATTCATTCTATCTTGTCTAATATGACCTAATCTAGCATGTCATCTAATAGAATCGACATTATCCATAGATGTAACATAAGAATAAGTTTTATTACTAGAATGATCAATATATAATACAATAAAACCATATGTGGTATAACCAGATCCATAAAATATAGTTCCCTTATAAATGCTAATATGCTGGTCTTCAAAATGAAAAATAAAACCTAGTCTTATTAAACTACTAACTGAAAACAAATTTCGTCGGATTCCTGGAGCATATAATACATCATGAAGGTATAGAGTAGGCCCCTGTCGCAATTCTAGTTTATATGTACCAATCCCAAGCACATCTATATTGGTCTCGTTCCCCATATAAATTCGTTTGCTTCCAGCTGGAACTTGACAATACTCCACAAATCTGAATCTGTGTTTCGTTATGTGGTCTGTTGCTCCTGAGTCTACAATCCACGAATGTGGAGAGTAAGCAACAAAACTTGACTAGTAACTAAACAGTCAATGCGAGAGACAAAACTAGAGAGTACCTTTTTCGGCTTAGTACATTCACGAGCGAAAGTGTCCCTTCTTGTTGCAATTATAGTAGACCATGTTGGCTTTATTCTTATTATCTGCTCTTTTACCCTACTTGTTATAACTAGAGTGACTAGCCCCAATTTGAGCATCAGACCTTTTTCCACCACGCTTGTACTTGGACCCGAAGATCTTGAGCGAGTCAACTTTAGTCACATAAGAGCTATTATCACCTTTGGTAGCCTCCAAACGCTCAACCTCAAGGTCAAGGTGACGCGATATATTCTCGAATGTTTTCACACTCTCATTATACGTCATGTTTTGTTTCATATGCTGCAATGATGGTGGAAGGGAGTGAAGTACAACTTAAACTTGTTGTTCATTGGTCAACACATGACCAACAACGCCTAAATCACGTATAATAGATGTCATAACCCTCAGATGTTGTTTCATTGTATGCTCTGGCTTCTTTTGATACGAGTCAAACTTTATGCTCAAACCACGAAGTCTAACAAGAGAAGTAATACCAAACTTCTCTTTGAGGGCATTCCACATGGCATGAGCTATGAATTAATTCTCAAATTTAGGAATAAGGTCATCTTGCATGCTTGCTTGTAAGATATAATACGCAAGTTGATCCTTATTTTCCTAAGACTAGTAATTCTCTTGTTCTTGGTGGGTTTGAGGTCGCTCAGGCTCTAGCAACAAAGAGTCAAGGGTATCCAAGACTTGTTGCTCATACATGACAAATTAAATTTTACGACGTCATATGTCATAGTTATTGTCATTCAATTTGCCACCGTTAGTTAATTCAACCACTATGCTTTTAATAGTCATTATGATTTAATCTACATGCAGAAATAATGTGTATGAGATATTAGCACAACACATTCTATAACTTTGCCTCAAAAATCTAAATTCAAGTATTAACAACTTTCATAAGTAGCGAGATTGAAAGTTTACTAAGTTCCCAATCATCTCTCATACCACAAGTGATTATTAATAACACTTAATAAAACTCTCACTAGATCTAGTATCTCTAGGCATAATGATCATAATTAATTTCTTATTATGTATGTTCTTATTTAAATCGTGCTAAATAACGAAATAAATGCTATAAACATATCAAACATGGTTACATTACTCTATGCAGAATATCAATATATCTCATAAATAGATATTTATTTCAATATTTGTAATTTCAACTGATTAAAGTTCGATCTCATATTATCATATGTGTCCATAGATACCAAAAAAATAAAAAAAATAGTTCCTAAAGTCATATGGACCAAACCCGTAGACCCAAAAATTTGGATGAGAGATATAAAATCTAAATATTTAATATTCTTAACCGTTAAATATAATTTTTAAGATAAATTTCTCATAAATTATCTTGTCCAAGCATCGTGTCATAACTCGTGAGTCGTAACTTTGCATCTCTTGAGACCCTTAGGTTGAACCAATTGTTCAATTGCTGTTGTCTTTTGTACGTATCATGTCAGAGAGTAAGCAATCAAGGAATAAGATTTGACAGAGGGTCCACAACAACACATGATTCATTCCAATCCACACCAATAGACACCACAATTTCATGCCGAATTTGAAGAATTTTAAAAAAATTAGCACTGTCAAACTGTGAGATCGTTTCTGACGATACTTTTCAGATTGATACATGTATGTACTGACTACTATATATTTAAATTTCAAGGCATATGATGACTGTTTGTTCAAGATGTCATTAAAATCCGTTCGAAGCTATTCATAAAAGCAATATTTCTAAATAATTGTTTCCAAAGGTGCGAGAACACCTTAAATGGATTTGATACCAATGTTGAAAATTGTATAACATATTGTGGAAGCGAAGGATAAAAAATACACCTTATTCGCTTTAATTCAAAAACTATTTGAAAATGTTCCACGTATTTTAGAATCTTAATCAACTCTTTTTCTTTAATTGCTCGAGTAGTATAGTGTTGTTATATAAGATGAGTCAACACTAGATTTTACACAGCACAAAAGTCTTCAAATGTTGTGTAACAAGAGAGAAGAGAGTAAGAGAATTTTAACGTCTGATTAATTATCATTTTTTTTTTCTTATTGCATTGTCTTGGGTTTATATAGACAACCATTGAGTGTCATTAAAAGACACATCTTATAGAGATATGTTTGTTAATATTTAACAGACATGTATTTTGAGTGATAAAGGATACCTCCAAAAGATATGTTTCTTAGGCATTCTTTAATTTAGGTCAACCCATCATGGGCGGCCCGGTTTAGGTTCATGATCTAACTAATATCTAACACATGTAGATATAGAAGATTGAATGTAATTGTATTTCTAATAAATGAGTTCAAAAAAATTTAGAAATTTTTATAAAAAGGTCCCAAGCAAGTTAAAAATCAAATAAGAGTGAAAAATAAAAATTAGATGAAACTATATGGGTAGATATAATTGAATTTATTATAGTAAATAGAGATAAAATAAGATGTCAAAAATTTTTCACAGATGTTGTATATTATAAGTAGTATAGATAACCATCCATATATGGTTCACTCATTTGATAATTTATTATTAGTTGGTGATATCACGTCGACATTGTTGACATTGCATTCAATATTTACTCATGTAATAGTATCTAGCAAAAAAAATAAAAAATTCCAATTGAGCCGGATCGTACACTAAATTCAATCAAACGTACTCTCTTGCCCATATTATTTTTATTTAATTCCTTACAATTTTGTAGAAATTACAACGCAGTTATGAGCTAATTACCTTTCACTTGAATAGGATATATCACATGTGGTGAACCAGTACAGCAGCCTAAAGTGAATAATGCAAAGCCAAGCCTCCGACATCGCTATCTGAATAGAACTACTCATCATCGTCACCGTTGGTATCTTTTGTAAAAGAATCCAAATGCATCTTGTGGAATCTTTGCCCCCCCTCCTTCTTGGATTCTCTTTCTTCTCTGTTCTTTGTATAATCCTCAAAGAAGTCCTTGTTCTCTTTCTCTAGCTCCTTCCACACTACATAAAACATTCAAAATTAATGAACTCTAAACATCCATTTATCATGTGCAATTGACATCAGACACAAGACCCATGTTTTTTTATGTTGGAATTGCTCTAGCGTCACTTTTAGTTGAAAAATTATTTTGATACCGCTTTGTTAGAGTTACGAGGATTAGAAATAAAATAGAGGAGAATTTTTTTTTGAGTGTTCAAATTTGTGTCGGCTGTTTATACTTTAAAGGCATGTTCTATAAAGAATAAGAGTGATTAACTCTTAGGGGGTGTAAGAAGTATTGAACGCGAGACTTCTTATTTGTAAGAGAAGAGACTTAATCACTGAACTATCCTTAAAGATACAAAATTAATTTACATACAAGTTAATTACAATCGCATACTAACTTGGACATTTCAACTTTTATTCAACTCTGCCTAATCCTGACACAAGGTCTCATACCCATTTATATAGGTTTAACCCATTACTCTTATCATTACATTCACACACCTTTATATTATAATCTGAACGCTACTAGTTTGAATCGCACAAACAATATTTATGCTGATAAAGCTACATATATTTGATCTCACACACACACAAACATAAATACATACATACATATATATATATATATATATATATATATATATATATACATATATATATATATATATATATATATATATATATATATATATATATATATATATATATATATATATATATATTTGTTTTAGCCTGTATGTCTGCTTGTATGGACAACTATAGTCTATGGAGAAGTGGGAAACTTAGTGAAAGGTGACAGACTGACCTGTGGAAGTGATGACTGGTTGGATATTTGCATGTTTGGAAAGAGCTTCCATGCACTCTTCTTTGCTCATATTGAATATGATGCACTCTTCTATTAGGTGCTGCACCTACAATATATCTCACACCCCACAGATCAATTTTAATCTGAGAAATAAGAGGGTAACAGATACAATTGTCATGTCAAGGATCAAAACTCCCAATATATATATGTGCTTACCATGTGGATATATTGAGCAGAAGAGTCCCCCATTCTCTTATATGAGAAACAAGAATACCAAAAAGAAAAGAGAAGCGCAGGAGAGAGAGAGAGAGAGAGAGGGAGGGGATTAAGGAGCAGGAACAGCCGGTTAGATCAAGGAAGCCAATGGGTTTTTAGTACTGAACATGTTTGGTGGATGGGTAGGTCGATATAAGACAAAAATTAAATATTTATTTATCATGTGTGACATATTTTTTTATGGTAATGTCATAATAAACAATGGGTAATGGTCAGGTGATATCATAGCGGTGGTGGGATCAGAACTCCCACGTGGGAGGAGGCATATGATTGGTCGGGAGGGGATTAGAGGAGATTTTATCAAAGCAGCCATCCTTTGCGGAACGTGGCCACTGGGCCACCCTCCACGTAGATATTGGACTCTTGGCCCGTTTGATTATGGACCCGCCCTAAAGTCACCGGAAGCAGTATGGGACCCATAATAAAGCCGACATACGCACACATACTCCGTAGCTAACGGCACGTGGATTTGTTGTGTCGTCGTCAGCCGCTCTTGCACAATTAATATTTAATTTTTAATATTATAAAAAACTAGTTATTTCTCGTGCTTGAAACTACGAAATAATTAAAAAAATATTAATAATTAATATATTTATATTCACACCCAAAATCAAATTACAAAGATAAAGGAAAGAGAAAAGAATTTAAACTCAAATTATATTTAGTGTGAACAGTGGTAGTGGTGGTAGTGAAAAACGGTAATAATTGTGGTGAATAAGGATGATTGATTGTGATGACGACAATCGTGGGTGACAAAATGGTGATGATGGTGGTTGTGGGGTGGTCGTGGTGGTAAGGTGACTACAATGGTGGTGGGGATAATGGTGGTAGAGCAATGGTGAGGTAGCAACAATGATGATGGCGACAGTGACAACAGTGGTGGTGGTGGGGTGATGATGATGATAATGGTGGAGAGATGGGGGGTGGTGGGTGGTAATGATGGTCGTAGGGTGGTGGTAAGGGTGAGGTTAGTTGTGGTGTGTAGAGGCAAAAAATCAGTAATACCTCTACACGTGAATTCGTGATATGATTTGTAGGAAAGAAGTTTGAACAATCTCCTAATCTCTTTCCTGCAAAACGAATAAATTACTCAAGATCGAAGTGTTTCGATCGAAGACACTCAAATGTTTAAGTCAGTAATGGAACAGAAAGAATTGTACTAAGACAGTGAGAGTTCAACGTACTTTTCATCTTGGTCTCTTCTATTTTTTATAGATCATTATCCCCTTAGGGTTTCCATGAATTTAGGTTCAAGGTGCCACACATTCCTTTAATTCAGTAGTTGAGTTTGAGAAGTTACTGATACTTCTCTAATGATTTCTCTTGATATCTTAAATTTCATCGATTTTGTTTATTTGATTGCCTAGATTTTAGGTGAATATTTTGTTGGGATTTAACTCGATTTAAATCCACTAACAAACACACACAATCGAAGAACAAATCAAGAATATAAAGCAATAAGAAACAAGAAAGAACAAGACACAGATTTTACGTGGTTCGGCAATTTGCCTACGTCCACGAAGCTGCAGGGATTTCACTATTGAGAGAGTTGAATTACAGAGAGTGGCTGTACAATCCACAAAAAACCCTAATCACCAAAACAACAGGGTTTATATGTCCTACGCACTGGGCTGTATAACGGGCCCAAGCCTTCGCTCCATGGACTAAGCCTCAGAAAATTTTCCATTAAAAATCACACAACATTATTTCGGGTCGGGTCATCATCCGGATCACATATACAAACTAGACTCCATAAAAAAAACCAACATAGTTAACTTTTCATCTATCGTTTTGAACAACTTGGACATATCGAGTTTCGAGCACATTCGACATTTGCCGAATAGTTTAGAGACTTGGTTTGGCACAAGTCGATCTTTTCAATTGCTTTCCCGAACATTCTAAAGAACTTGGCTTGGTACAAGTCGAGCTCTCTCCTTTTATAACCAACCAGATTGATGAACTCACTCATAAAGAGAACTTAACTCTTTATTTGTTTGTCAAAATGAACTGATCAGTTCAGCTCGGTCCTCCAGACTAGGTGAATGTCTTCGTCATATGATTGGTCTTGTCAAGCTCACGTGAACTTATTTAATGCTGTAACACATGTCATCACGAGGGTTAACCCCTTCATGGTGGAAGTATGAAAGTGGTGGTGGTAGTTGTTATGGTGTGGGGCGGCGGGGGTGGTGGTGAGATAGTTTCAAACACTATTTTTTTTTTGAAAGTATTTATAAGAAGTTATAAGTTTTAGAAGGAACTTTTTAAAAGTTACTCCAAACACGTTCTTAGGGTCATATTTTCTCTATTAAATTTAAGGTGCTAATATTAGTTGTCAGATTAACTTTAAAGTAAAATTCAAAGAGATTTTAGCCGCGAAAAATAAAAGTCATTTTGTTTATCTTTTAAAATTTAAATTGTATCGTACTTTATTATATAGATTTTTATGTACGAAGTTATTGCCAATTGATAGATATCACATATTGAAGTGCCTTTTGTATTTGTTTGGGAATTAATTATCAAAATACGACACTTTTTAAAAAAAATTATCAAAATACGATACTTTTAAACTTATTTACTAATTTAGCGCAGTTTTTTGAAAGTGAAATTGTTAATTCAGCTTTTATGGTGAAAGCGGAATCAACAAGATCACTTTTAATACTTACAAAAATGCATTTTCCCTTTTTATTGTATCACTTGTTAAAAGCGGAATTGTTGATTCCATTTTCAACTGAACTGAATGCGGAATCAACAATTCCGCTTTTAAAAACTACTATACATTGGTAAATAAGTTTAAAAGTGCTGTATTTTTGTTTGAAAAGTGCCGTATTTTGGTAATTGATTCATTTGTTTGGTGGGTAAATCGAATTTTACACATGATTTTGTACATTATGAAATTGTATATCAATCATGCATTTAAAAGCCCCTGTAAATTGTTCTCCACTTAAAAAACAAAACAGATATTTAGTATTAACTCTAACTTGTTGACCATCTTTAAAAAAAACAAGAAACGTTCCCATATTGATTTTTAGGAATTTTTTTTTGATGATACCAAGAATAATATTGAAAATAAATAGAAGGATATCTCTATATCTCGCCTACAAAAAAATTCAATAACCAGATGATCCACGAACAATCTCAGACAACTATGACTAGGTTGTCCATATCATCACACGAGGAGAATCAGTATTTCTAGATCAGGTCAAGTGTTTGGATCGAGTTCCTTTATTCACGAGTTGACTAAAGGTAAAGGAGACCATCCCAAATAGAATGACCACAGTATGACCTTTTATAGATATGGAACAACACCGCAGCGTATCGAAGCTTGAACACAGGCCAAAATACCACCTCACAAGTTCTAAAATGCCACCTTATGCCTAGGGAATATTATAGCCAATAACGGCCCAATATTCTCTCAACAAAATCTTAACAAACTTGTGGACCATATGATGATGACATAAGAACCATCACGCCTATGGGTAGAAATACACGAGGGCATTCATCCATGGAATAACCAATTGTAATATCTAAAATTGTAGCTATATCTTCTTCTTCAAGCAATAGAAAACTTCTCCAGGAACAACAGACTCCATTATAATGGATTAACCAAGCTCTTCAATTGGTGAATCACTATAATTTGTGGTTTTTCTTGTCTTCTAGTTTTGACTCTTGTTCTAAGTTACTGTAACATTTAACAGAACCATCAGGTTCACCATAGATCGATTCATCCTTCACTGTTTATTCACTCCTAAGCCTTGAGCTCTTCAGTTTAAATGCACATCTCACACTTTTGAATCCATACATCATCAATTTTAATCGAATGGATTTATATAATCGATGTTCATAGAATTTTTTTTTTTTTTTTTAATTACAACACTCTAATTTTAATAAACAAAATCACACAAAACAGCTATAAAACATAAAGTTTAAGATACAACAAATAAAGTATCAAAACAAAAACTTTCATTTTCCCCAATGGTCGTCACAAGGAACTGAAAAACTATGAATCTTGGGGTACATTATGAGAGATTTAAATTCTCTCTAATACATTTCATTTTAATTTTTCATAACGTTAAATCATTCATTATACATTTGTCTGTGGCGGGTGATCTTTAATTAAGTATATTAAAAAAAATCCAAATACTTTTATAGCACAATGGATAAGTATGTGTAATGGTAATTATTAGGCTTCATTGCAAATCAAAGATTGGTTTAACTTTTTGACTTGATGATGGTAAATGAATAAGAGCTATAGTATGTCCATCAATAAAAAAATGACAGATCTAAGACTGTAATTGGGCAGTTTAGAATATTTTTTTAATCAACACTACCATGAATAATGTGTACATTAGTGCGATAACAGTTGAAAATTACTTATGACAAAGGCTCGCTGTCAATTTGTTTTAAAATCATTCATTGAACCGCTGGTAAGCTCGACATCAAATTCATCGCCATATTGATTGATTTAATGGTCTAGAATGTGTATGTGTTTGTGTTTTTGTTGTACCAATAACCCTAATCGAACGCAAATCCTCGAAGGCCAATGCATTATAGGGAAGGGATGATGAGGCCCGAATTTACAACCTTAAGGCCCAACAACGGGGCTAACTATCTAGAATGGCTTTCATTTGCCAAAAAATCTGCGTGCCAGTTGCCTGCTTTACATGTATGAAATAACTTAGATTGCTAGGGGTAGGCCAACAGCTTCTGGTAGTCTTCAACGGTGGAGGCAGCTGGATGAGTGAGAATTTGCTGTTTTGATGATTTGCATTGCATTATCTGAATCTCTCTCCACTATAATACACCCTGACCGCATCCCCCAAACTACCACAAGCTTCACAATTCACATATGATCCAACATTTTGCTTAATGCATATATGATGTACATATTGTTAGAATAGGGCCTCATATTCAATATATGGAGAGATCCACCGAGTCAGGGCGGCCTAACCCTTAGGCAATTAAGTTGCTTGCCTAGGACTTCTCTTTAGTATAATAAGCCTAATTTTTTCTGTTTTATTTTATATTTTAGATGTGATTAA